CCCCCAAAACTCACTTGTCCCCATGGCAACGCATACCCAATAAAGCTGTCACAAATTACAATCATTATTAATTATTAATTATTAATGATAATTAAACGACTGCTCCAAGACACCACACTAATTCTCGTGGACTGGCATAAATCCCATAATAAAGACCACAAAAAAAGAAAATGAAGATAAACCAGATAAACTGAAAGACCCAAACAGTGGCAAACACAGAAAATTAAAGTATAATAAAATGATGGTCTACTTAAATAGGTAATCGAATGCAAGCTTTTGTGGGTAGTCCAGTCCCCAGAAGCTGACTTGCTTTGTCCAGATTAAAAGATACGAGTTCTTTCAACAGCCTTTATCTTTAGCTCTCGGGGAAACATAACGAGAGCACCATCATGGAAATGACCCAGAACCTGCAATCCTGGTATCTCCTCAATAGTTTCTACGAGAACACTAGATATCCAGTGTCATATCGACTGTCTTTTCTTATCGTTATTCCAATGATCCAATCCCACCAAAGACCAACAAATTGGAACGACAGTCCTTTTGCATTATTGCATACGCCCGAACGTAATGGTTGCCACACAGCAACAAATTGGCACCGCAAAAGCCCCGACCACGCTCGGTGTGCCACACAGCAACCAAGTAAAGCTGTAATGGTTGCTGTGTGGCACACCGAACGTGTTCGAGGCTTTTGCAAACACCCGAACGCGTTCGGGTGTTTGGCCGAATGCCTCTCGAACGTGTTCGGTCAAACAAGGCGTTCGGCAAAACATATTTTGTTTAGTGGTTTGTTTATCAATTTTTTTCAATTTTGTTTTAGGTTTTTGATTTGTAACTCGCGTTTTGCTAAGAATTTGAGCATGCTGATGCTGCCAGGATAACACCGGGTTGAATTGTGAGGTCCCCGGCCTCGGTTTGAACTGTTCTAATTGAAGGGATTAAATCATTAACACCCCCCCCCCCCCCAAAAAAAAAAAAAAAAGAATTTGAACATGCCTCCCAGGCAAAAGTTGTTTGTTTTTTTTTTTTACATAACGTTTTTTTTTTTTTTTTTTTTTTTTTCGTTTTTTTTTTAATATTTGTTTATGTTCGCGTTTGGAGGGTTTTGGCGCTCGTTCGCATTCGGTCGCGAACGTCTGGGTTCGGTCACCGAACACGAACACGATGCTGCGCAGATTGGTTGTTGTTGTTGTTGTTGTTGTTGTTGTTGTTGTTGTTGTTTCCCAGTAATGGATTTATTGCAAGGAATATGAGCGAGAGCGATAGACAAATCCGAGTCGCAAAATCATATGAAGTAGTCCAGATAGTCATGTGCCAAGCAGAGAGCATAATGCACCAAGATATCATCCAAATAAGAGCAATACAATGAACTCGAGTGCCAATGCCGATGCTCCCTAGTCACACCAAATGTATCCAATGTCGCTTCTACTGTCTGGCGCCCAGCGCCCAGCCTACACTACGTATACTACAGTTCTATTCTATAGTTGTCTGTTAGGTGTTAGCGGTCTGTTGCCATAACTAGTCAAAAATAAAAACAAATCAAGTGCTCAGATGTATGCAGAAATGAGAATAATTGTGTGTATGGATGAGCACCAATTGGAACCTTCCCTTTCCTTGTATTCAACAATTCTGTTTTGCATCATCAAGCAGCGGTGTCTAAGGCGCGCATATCGGCCCACCCCTGTGCCCAGGGATATATGCTTATGGCCAGTACTGCTCCTTTGTTTATCCTGGCGTGCAACGAGCCTTACGTCCGATGATCTGGCTGGCAATTTAAGGACAGCCCCTGAAGTCCTCAGGAAGGTTCTTTATAGATGGTGCTCATACAGATCACAGCCAGATATCAGATCCCGCCACGTTCGTCAAAATCATGCCCACTTTCTTTCAAACTTTAAATAGAGCGCAAATGATGATGACAACAATCTAGACTCCATCAGGAGTCTCATAAACAAGCCAGTCATATCCATCAGTGTCGTCACATGCAGAAAGAAGGTTGACGATAAAGCAGAAGAGATGAAGAGATGGGTGACGAAAACGTTTGGCAATCTGCTAAAGCTCCTCACGGAGAAGATGGATAAAGTTGATAAGAAATCCAAGCTGGCGGAAGAGGAGGAGGAGTTGAAGTGTTTACGCATGGAGAAGGAGCTACAAGAGCTGAAAAAAGGTTCTAATAGCGATAAGAGAAAATGTCCTCCATCCACTCCAACCACCTCTCCGAGAGTGGATAGGATCCAGGTAAAAGCGGTGGCCAAACCCCCAGCCAGGAGGGTCCTCATCTCCTCTTATGAAGAGGACGATGGAGATGGGGAACTCGTTCACGAAGGAAGGGGACATCTGATCAAGAAGTTTGACGACGCGAAAGGGAAAGGTGAGGAAAAAGTAAGCGGGAATATGACGGAGACCAAAGATGTCCTGAGACAACTGGTGCCAAGCCTGCGATGACTTCATTGCCGCTCAAGAACGAGTATGCATCCACCTGTAACATAGGATTCGTGAAAACCTAACAAAACAAATTGTTAGAAGCCCGAAGATGTCCTGAGACAACTGGTGACAAGCCTGTTTGCACGAAAATTTTCAAAGATTCTCATAGTACGTTTTTCAGGCCTCCTACATCAACAAAATTCTAGGTGAAGTTAAAGATCCGCAGAAAATGGAATAAAAAACTACTTTTTCAAAACCACTCGAAGTGGTGAGGAGAAAAGCAGGTTTTTTTTACAGAAAATCACTACCTCTCAAAACACTGTTTCTTCATGAACCAAAATATTTCATTTTTTTCTTCATCTAAAGAAATCATATTTATAGTTCTATAAGGTATGCAACGCAATGAACGTATTGGAGGGTTTCCCAAACACGCCATATGTTGTCCTTTTCACGAATACGTTCGCTTGAATATGTTCTCTCATACATGGACGAATATAGTATTTTTTATTAAAATATTTTATCATTTCTTAATTTTAGATCGTGGTTGGTTAAGAATTTGAAGATGTTTCCGAGGCAAAAGTTGTTTGAATTTGTCTTTTACATAACATATATTTTTTTACAAGGGTTTTACAGTAGGCTCAAAAAATGACTTATATGATTTATAGATCTATAAATTAGTTTTCACAGATTTTGGTTCTTACCAAGTACTGAAAATGACTTATAATTCTATAAATGAGTATTCACTAAAACTGTTTTTTTTAATACATATTTCGAGTTTTTAAAGATTGTCTTGTTTACGCTCTGTTTTTTGTCAATCTACAAAGAACAATTTATAGTCCTATAACACGCAATTCACTAAAACTGGTTTTCATGCATATTTTAAGAGTTGCTAGACTTTTTGCCCCTTTTTTTGCATCCTTTCTCGGGATAGAGTTAAAAATATTATTTTTTATGTGTCAAAAGTAACAGTTTGATGTTGTACTTTTTCATTCTATAAGAAATGTTAGGTTTTGTCGTTTTGTCAGGTTTTCATGAATTCGGTGTTCTGTTCCAAGTCGGATGGAACAGCAGACAATCAACCTCCCAAAACCCGTATGGTTAAGGATGGACTTCAATTTTCCATCTCCCTTCGACGAACCGACCTCCTCCACCACATAGTTCGAAGAAAGAAAAGATAATTTAAGTCCAATCAAAAAATTGAGCGAAATTATCAGATCGTTTTTTGACGACGCCGTGAAAAGGATACGCTTCCATTGGTCACAGCTCAAACCAATCCATACCCACTATACCCTGTCTCTGTCTCATGCTGCCTCCACCGAAGAAAATCCCTCGGCCCCAACATAGAACAGATCCCCTCCCCTCCCTCCACCACATCCGCAACAGGCAACCAATCCCCTCCTAGAGGCTGCCTTTGCCCGCCCCTTGTCCCTGTCTGCCCCCGCTGGGGTTGAAGGCGACCAACTCTCCAACCCCAGGCCCAGACTCAGACAATCCCCAATCTGCCCTACTCCCAATAGGGTTGCTGCCTCCCACCATGCAACTCCCTTGTAGAATAAGGCTCCCCTATGACAGACCCCAGGGTTAATTTTCGGGGACAGCTAACTAGTAATTTATACCCACAACTGGCCAGCCCTATCTCTCCTTCCCCTAGCTTGCCCACGGCCAGGCGAAGCCCAAGCTGACAGTCCTACCGTCCTTCCCCTGGCTTGTCCCCTAACTTAGTCCAAGCGGATCTCAGACCTGCTGTGGGTAACTACCGTATACCTGTACCCTGGAGTCTCAAAAACCCCTGCCCACCAAAGTTCCAGCCATAACCTCCGAAGTCCTATCCCCGCTAAAGCGTCTGCTAAATTCAATGTTCGAAAAACAATCCCAACATGAAAAYGTTGTGTCTGAAATWACTACTACAAATAGTCGTAATCAGGAAGTAAGTAATCAAGAAGTAGGTGATCGGAATATAGGTAATCAAGATATAGGTAATCCAGATGTAGGTAATCAAGATATAACTAATCAGGATGTCAATATTAATGACTATTGGATACTTGGGTAGCCGAAAACGGTACCCTGAGACTAAAAAGTTTTCGGATAATATTAGTATTGATGATGGTAGTGATGATGATGGAAGTGTTATGGATGACTATTTGAGTGAAGTCGCAGCCTAGAGATAGTAGTGGCGATCAACTTCGCCTACAGATGAATAACAACTAATGAAAAAATTTTGTAATGAGGGTGAGCATGCTAATGAAGCTGCCAAAAAAAAATAGTAATTGCTAACCTAATTGATCGTATTACAACAGATGATGGCTATGAGGATAATAGCGCTGATGATCGTGATACTACAGCTGATGATCATGATACTACAGATGGTGACAATCGCTATAGTAACTAAATACCCATAGAGATGTAATGACGATGAGGATGTTAATTAATTTTCCATTATATTGATGACGATCGCCTTACCGCAAGTGGTGATGACTGATAATCTTGATGACAACTTGCTGATAGTGTTGACGAACTCGAGGTTGATGACGGACCACGCTCCATGCTGTGATAAACCGACACCCTGATAAATGATGATGGCGATGACGAGCAGCCCCGATGATGATGAGGCTTTAAGTCCAACCGATCCCTGATGCTAATGAACGAGGACACTGGTGATGACGGGTAGCTACTTCTCTCGCACTTTGGGTCACCCAAGGCTCACTCCGCTGAACTCCACACGCATCCCCAGAAACGACACCTCACAGGCTCCATGCCACGAGCAAAAACGCAGCAGCAATGGAGTATGAACGCGGAACTCCCAGAAAGCCCCCGGGAGTCAGTCTATTCTCCCTATCAACCTGTGATACGGTATAGACAAGCACCTTCGCTCCCCGCGTGTGCGCAAAGCGCCTAATAAGCAGATGCTGTAAGCTCGACACCCAGCCCAACAACTCCTCCTCACCTCACCAGCGCCTCTGTCACGCCATTGCCATGCAACACTTCGTCCGTATGAACGCGCCAGAGCAAAACCGGTTCGAGTCAGGCACCCTCCCGCTTCGCCGCTTCACTCCGCCGCCGCGGTCGGTGCGGTTGCGCAGCGCTCCCGGTAGCGCTGCGCCCCAGGAGCCGCCACCAAACTCAAAAAGTGAAAAATATATCTTTGGGGTGAAAAAAACACTGGATGGTCTAGTCCTTTCGTCGGCAGACAAGAACAATGGTGAGATGATCATTGAATGTCCAACTAGATACATGACATGCATGGACACTATGTTCAATAGAAACTTCAACTATAGTAAATTGGATTCTTGGAGGAATCTTTTTTTTTTTTTTTTTCCCCTCATAGCCTCCCCAGAGGGGTCCTAAGACCCCCTGGGGTACTGGTGGTGATGGTCTTTTTGAGGCCGGGGTGTCGGAGATATTGAGGAAGATGAGGAAAGACTACAAAGAAAAGGACTTTAATTGGATTGCTAGCTGGGATCGTAAAGGGAAACTATAGACAACCTATGTTATAGCGAAAGACAAGGATATGGAGAGGCGCAGACGTATTGTACCCACGTTCGCTAACCCAACAGATCTTTGTTTGGCTATCTTAATAAATCATTGCATTTTCTGATGAAGAACTTGAAGGAACACAATTTCAATTCACCAACCACCACACGGATTGAGAAACTTCACGAAAAAACACACAAAGGACTTTGGGATCGACAGACGAATCATGATGACAACCTATGACATGAAAACAATGTTCACTAAACTGCCACACGGGGAAGTTAAGACCGCTATTTTTTGGTTGACTGATTCCTTCCACAAACGGGGTATACGATGGGTTGAAGTCGAAACTAGGGGAAAGACGACTACTTTCGGAAAGTCATATGGGGAAGAAGGTTGACACTCTATTCGTATTTTGCAACTCCTTCCAATGGTCGTTTTTTTGTTGGACTAACAGTTTTTTCGAGCTAAGGGGGAGATCCTAAGATAGGTAATGGGGATTCCGATGGGTGGAAAACCAAGTCTCGCCCTCGCCTGTATTTATGTATATACTATGAGTCCCGATTGCTGTGATCGCTTGGCCAGAAGACTGGATTTATTAAAGGCGACCGCTTTATGGACGACCCCGTGCTTTCCACACGGTACAAGAGCCTAGCCTCAGACGAAGAAAAGAAAGCCAATGACAGGCTTGATAAAATCCAAGGTTGCGATCATGAAGACCTCAGCCTGGAGAGAATAGACACTGTCAGCGGAATCGTATTGTTCCTCGACACTAACTTGATCGTCGTCGATTTCCCTGCTTGGGTGCACATGACCCATAAGTTCAAGAATATGAACTCGATTTGGGAAGGGGGTGAAAGACACTTTAAGACAATCAAGACGCTGGGCCCGGTTCCTAGCACGTGCGGCACCCCACAAATAGATTGGAGCCTTGTCCCCCTCCTCCCCCCCCCCAAAAAAAAAAAAAAAAGGAACGACAACTCATTCGGGGATAAGAGACAAAAGTGGGCAGCCATTGTTAGTGTTATCTGGGGCACTAAGCAGAACACCAATACAAGGTGGGCTGTCTGGCTTGGTCTGATCACACTAAGTAGAGAAGTCAGAGGGTTCGGATACCCTACTGAGGTGTTTGTTTCCCAGGGTCATCAGGGATACGATCTATGCACAGAAAGCGGTGCATTTTCGATTCCAACCCACACAGATGGGGCTGATAATTAACGACAAGATCAAATGGATCACAGACAAGCTCGCCTCGATTAAACCTGACAGTCAACTGGTCCATGACCACATTTTCTGATATCCACCCGGACTGCATCACCGTGGTTGCCATGTACTCCACTGATAAGCACCTCCTCCTCAGAAACAAGGCTTTACTATTCAAAGGAAAATCGGTGCAGGTGGTACCGTGGTCCCCGACCAACCCACAATCCAGTGACGAGCAAAGGAATATCTGATGAAATCCAATTTTTGGGTGGATTTCAGGTTCGTGCCTCTCAGTGTGCAGGGGGCGATTCTTACAAATCCGGAGAACATCGACCACATCAAGGGCTATATCACATACTTGTCACAATTTTTGGGTAAGCGGGATGACTCTCTATTGGTGGCAGTGGAGTGGGATGAGACATACACATTCCC